ACAGAATTTAAGACTTAAAATTGATCACCTACATGTCCGGAAAGACCAGTCAAAATTTGAAAAAATATATATACCTCCTATGCATCATAAATATTTAAAAACACTGTTACATAAAGAGCATAAATAAATACTACTAATAATGTTAAATTTATCAATAAAATTAACGTTCAAAATAAAAAATACTACTTCTACTTTATTTCTTGTTATTATTTGTAAACAAAATTGGATTAATATGAAATATATTTTAAGTGATATTTGATTTTATAAAACTGAAATTAAACGATTTTAACATTTGACTAATTTTGAAAGTGGTGTAAGTCCATTTGCAGCCTGTAAATATACATTATTTTAATTAAATTAGCCTAAAACTAGTGTATATAATCAAATTACATATCGATAAATTAATAGAAACATTGTCAAACTTGATATAATTAATGAATATTTTTAAATTAACCAATATGCAAACCTTTAATTTTCTCAAAACAACAGAAAATGGACTTACACCACTTCCAAAATAAACAGTCCATATAACTATAACTTTGTTTTTCTTTTCTTCTCTTTAATTTCTTTTTATTGCTCTTTTTTATATTTTAATTTATTTATTTATTTATATTTATATTATTTTATTTATCAGTATTATGTTTTTATATTATCTTTATATTATCTTTATATATATATCTTTCAATATTTATTCTGATTATGAAACAATGGGTAATTTCTGTAAATGTTTGAATAAACAAACAAATGAACAAACAAATATTCATTTGAATACCAGTTTTTTAGGAATGGTTTTCCTTTTTTCCCCTTTGATTGAACAAAACGTTTAGTATAAATTAAATACAACTAATAAATCATTCAACTATTTCTTTATGGGTTAATAATTCCGGAAAAATTACAACAGTGTTAGGTTCTGTGGCATAGTAAAATGTTAATTCTATAAATATTCAATATAAATATATTTATTAATATTAATTATAATTATAATTAATTACATATTAAATATTATTAATAATAATAAATATATATTCAATAAATATATATCGAGAGACGAATAAAGTAGAATTTTATTTGAACTATATACTCGCTTTAATTTAAAAAATGTAAACCAAATCACTCCACTTGGCTGTAAAGCTGGGAAAAATAGATATCTACTCACATAAATTTTATTTATTAGTTTTATTTATCGTTAAATAAATCCATGTATAAATGTAAAAATTAGGACAGGAATGATCAGATTCAAATTTTATTCACCAGAGATATATATTTTATTCAACAAATCAGAATTTTTTCTGGATTTTTCTTATTGGTCAAGTCCCCACCATTTTCTAGTCCTTCTATTCTGCTATCTATCGAATCATTTTACAGAGAAGATAGAATACTCCTTTATTGGTTAACCACGTTACCGTTCACGAAAAAAATAGATTCAAGAATTCTATTGTGAAATAGAATAAAAACTATTTCTATCATAAGAAAGAAATTTTTTGAATAAAATTTTAGTTACGAAGGTAACATTACAATAGAAAACGTGAATGTATTTAATAATTTATGTGTTTAGAAACTGTTTATTAGGCGTCAACAAAAAACCATTGATCCTTTTAAAAAAAAAAAAAAAAGAAGAAAAATCTATAATCGTAGAAAATCAAAGTCAAAAGTCCAGTTACCGAAAAAAAACTTATTGCACTATAAAACATAAACTCCGAATAAAAAACTATAGAAATCTATAAAAATTGTACTGACAGGCTATTTTTATTATCCCTGTCACCATTATTCCCTTTTTTTTTTTGAATATCGAAGGGTTAAAGAAAAGTATTTCAAATAAAAAGTTTGAAGGCCGACATACAGAAATGAAAATATTTAAATAAATTTAAAATAAAAATAATAAAGAATACGTTGAATATGTTTTTATTGCTTGAATAAAATTTCATCCTTATATATGGACAAAATCCTTTGAAAATAGAAAAGATAAATATTCGTCATTCTAATTGTGTGTTTAAACGTGACCAATAATACATTATTTTTATTAGAATTTTCGAACTATAAACTTTGAAATGTAACAATTTAGATTCTCAACTGTTAGATTCTCCAACGTAGAGTCCTTTCGTGATTGAACCAATAACAAACGTAAAACTTTATTGGCTCCTCAGGGAAAAGCTATGCGACATAAAAACCCAATACCTGTGTTATATTATATCAAAATACAATAATGAATTGTCTCACGTGACTCTCTCGCTCGCTCATTATTTTAATTTTATTAATAAGATAATTAACGCGTGTGTGTGTATAAATTTTCAAAAAAAAATGTAAGGCCATGCAATAAATCATTTATCTGAAAATAAAATATTGAAAATTGACCGAGCTAATATTGATAAGAATCTCGCAAACACTAACCTCGTTGGTCAAACTTATTATCTACGTGCTCTATGTGGATACATAGACACAGACGGTAAGATTTACACTTAGGGTGTTATTCAATGTCGAGAAGGGTGGCAAAAGGGAGAAGGGCCAAGCATCCCTCGAGCAATGGAACCCCCCTCGGGAAACCTCACCCCTCGTGTCCTTAGTTCGAGAGGGTGGTGAACGTTCCTCCACCCCTCTCGAAACAAAACATATTGTCCGAATTTAATTGTCGATGGGGTGCATTAGATATTCATACGTTACATGTTCCACGACGCGTACAACAATGTCCCATGGAATAAAAGAGAAAGACAGAGAGAGCACGTGCACGTCCTTGCTTTCAAGCTCGAAGGGTAGTTGTCGAACGAATAAATCTTTCTAACGATAAACACTGCGTTCACGACGTTGGCACATTTTATAAATACCTATCCTTACATTCTAATTGTAAATAGATATCATAAAATGAATATAATATTAATTTATTAATTATTCAATACTTCGAGACGTATATAACTCATTAATTTTTGTACTTCTAATAATACAAATTTATTAATAGAAATACGAAAATCAAAAGGAAAATATAAGTAAGTATTATACAGTTGTGATTGAAACTTTTAACATCTAATATTAGGTTTCGTTTAAGCAATTTTATTATAATATTATTAAATAAATTAACCGTGAAAAAGTGTACGAATTATTAAATCTTATAATTCGAAAAAGGGAGATTAGATCGAAGTAGGTTGAAATGGGAACGATTAAATTATTAGATCGACGACGGGGTGGTAGACTCGAAATCCAATCGTCGTCTATGATGATGTACCCTCATTGGCCCTTGGGAGTAAACAAGAGGCGATCGATGGACTCATAGAGGGTGGAATCGAGTGTCTACATATACAAAATACAGAGACATCGAACGCTCTATAAAATCTTTTGTAATTCGCACCACTTCGTGACACCATTAACGAGAACCATTTTTTTTTCCATTGACGTAGTAAATTTTTATGTATAAGTATACTAATATATTTTTTTGATTAAAAAAAAGCAGCAAAATGAATTAACAGTTTCAAAAAGATTATTGATTTAACACTAGAACCACTGAACACAAACAAAATTACCGGTTATAATTAATTGAGTCTCTCCAATATTATATATTTTAAAAAATTATTGTATTCATTCTTAATTGACAAAAAATAATTATTAAAATTATCGTCTACATTCTGAAAAAAAAAATCTGAAAAAAATTTGAGAGAATAATTAATTTATTTGATAATTAATAGATTTATTGTAATTATTTTATTTAATAATTAATAGATTTATTTATAATTATTTTATTTGATAATTAATAGATTTATTATAATTAATTTATTTACTAATTAATAGATTTATTATAATTAATTTATTTACTAATTAATAGATTTAGCTGTTAGAAAAAAATATACAATAATTGTACTTAACTGTTTGTATTTCTAATATTAAATAATTTCAAGGGAATATCGCATAAATGATATTTTTAGCAAAAAAGAAAAACTTTCTTTTATCCGCTTTAACAACATCGTAGAAGTAGAGAAAAGCGCAAAACGGTGGTAGAGCAACTATTTTGTACGCGTAGCGAGCCGTTTCGAAGTTTCGCGCATAGAAGAAAATAAGTACAGAATAGGAGAAAGAGTAAAAAGAAGAAGAGAGGCGAGAAAATGGAGGAAGAGAAGAAAAGGTAAGAATGTGGAAAAGTGTCTTTAAGAAGGAGAACGAGATAAAGAAGAAAATGGCGAGGAATGGATAGAAAGGGGAGAAGAAGAGAAGTCACTTTCTTACTTTCATTCTTAGGAGCGTTCTCTCGAATACGATCGGCCATCATCAAGAACATATCTTTTTCTATTTCCTCTTCCTTTTCTTTCTCCTATCCCTTCCCCCATCATTCTAACTACACCCCCCTTTAGTAGATTCTTGAGCTGAAACGAAACTGAAGTTGAGCGTGTCGTATCAAATAAAATCTTGCTTCTATTTCTCTTTTTAACTTTCATTCTACTATTTGTCCTAATGTAGTAGTTGAATTATTATAAAACAAAAAGCAAAAATATCTATATTAAGGGATTCATTGTAGATCGTAAGATACGAATGACGATGAATTATTTATCTGTTTATTTATTTATTTGAATTTGTTTTATCGTGCCGATATGGTTAATCGATGTACGAAAGTTATTATATGTAATGCGAGTATTATAAGTTGAAAAGGAAACACGAGGATTACCGTTTAAATGATAATTAAGTCCGGTTAGTTTATAAGATAAGGTTGCCACAAATGTAATAAGAATAAAAAGGAATATATAGTAGGTACTTTCTACGGGAGAAGACGAGGAGAATGGAGAAGAGTTCGTGGGACATTTTGTTCGTAAGAGAAAGAGAGATTCATATCGACACGAAATGCCCAGGAGAGCCAATCAACGCGCGACGTAGGTCGTAGGCGAAGTAGCCACGCCTTCGTTTCGCGCGATTGGCAGTCGCGGTTATTCGGTCGCACGCTACTGTAAGCTTAGTGGCTGAGTCAGTAAATGTGGTGGGGAAACCAAGAACGATTTCCGACGACTTTCGGATGATCCCGAGCTGAGGTTCTCTATTCGAAAATTTTCGTGCGCGGTACACTTCTTAAACAGTCGTTCGCGAAGAAAGATCTACGCTTCGCGTACTACGTTCTTTCCTCATGTTATCGAAGTATAAATTCTCTTATATTATCTTTATACTTTCGCATAAAGTTATATCATCTCTAATTATAAATATAACTCTGAATACTTGAATATATTTTTTTTTAATTTTTACGACGTCATCGGAGTAGGAACGTACGTATTTTCAAAGATGGATCGCGATTTAGTTGTTGTTCAGCATTTTAAGATCGTACGTATGATCTTATGTTAATGCTGTATAAGATCAAGAAAGAAAATAAAGATCAAAAGACAACTGTATAACAATTTATATACCGTGGATTACCTGTTATCTGGACATTTTGGAAAGCGTGACAAAAGTGATTAATTATTGTAGAAGAATATCAAGAAACAATTATTTTTACTACTACGAGTGAATATGAACCAATCAGAAGCAGCAGTAGTGTAGTGATTTTTGTTGTTGTTAATTGCTATTGTTTTATTGTATCACTTGTTCTATCGAAATTCGGATAGAATTGAGGAATTGGTTGTAAGGAATAATTTGTAGTTTTATTGTGGATGAACAATAAAAATATCAACGGGATAAATTATATTTACCTGGTTTACAAGGGTCACGAATCTCTTCAAAGCACCTCTAATGGTATTTCGATATTTATGTAGCCATCACGTTCGAAATTCCATCTTGCTAGCAAGAAAAAATCAAGAAAACCTGCAGATACAAAAGAAGAATTGATTTGCACATAATCTAGCCAATGTTAACTACAGTTAATGTATTCCTACAAGGCTCAAAAGAATTCAACCTGGAAATCTAGTAAAAAAATAAATCTACGCGAAATACACGAAAACATTGGACACGGTATCATTGAGTTATTGTTCACGTGCTACCTTTTTTACACTTATATAACAATTTACCAAATATCTACGGACAAATTGTAAACAAATAAACAGATAAATAACAAAAAATAAAAAAGTAATTAACATTAAATTCAGTCAGTTGATTCAATTGTTTCAAATGAATTCTACTAGTTAGTATAAATCAGAAATTACAACCAGTAAGAAACAATCGCCCTCACAACGTGGAAGTCGAAAGAAATTGTATTCCCATACCAGACGGAGTGAAAAAGCACGTGCACGAAGAGCGTACACAGTACGGAAGTGAAACCAGCTCTCAAGTTAACGAATAAATAAACTGAATTTGAGACAAAGTCTCAACAACGGCAACAAAATTGAGCTGGACTTACATCAACGTGCCGCCGGCCATTATATGAGGTACATTTTATTAATATCTCTTTCGAGATATTATTTAATGTTCATTAACATACAAACTCACATATAAAAAATACAAAACAACTGGTCGTAAAACGAAAACGACAAATAAAAAAGTTCTCTCTTCACGATGTCATTAGTCGAAACACAATAGTACGGAAGCGACGGTAAAAGAGTTGAACTCGTGTTCGCGCATAATTCGATCATCAAAATATTCGAACAATCAAATCTATTTAATTCTATTCATTTAACACGCGCACATTTAAACATCCGTTTATCGAGTTTATCTCTTTTTAAACAAATTAGCTTAATTTCGTTAGTATTCGTAAACTACGAATAAATTCGGCGAGACGATATTACATTGAGTCAAACGCATAAATTTGATTCAAAAAAAATATATAAAAAAGTGAGTTAAATTAAGCGAACGGTCGTAATCTTTTTATACAATGTAACGATCATCTTGATCGTAAATAAACGAGCGTGACATATAAACTGGATAAGAAAAAAAAGGAAAAAATAATAATCGGATCGGAGTAATCGCGGTGAGCCGTAAAAAATGTGCGAATCGAATTACAATTTCTCTCTCTCTCTCCCTTGAATGGAGCCACTCTAGTCGAAATCATTCAAATCGTTTGGTAGATATCCGCTGTGCCGTGGCAAAACATTCAATTAGCGCTTCCTAATGCCCCCCTAGCGCGTTTCTTGACAACAACCATTACTTCCAGCATCTTCTCGGCGACAAACCAAACGCAACCCTCCTCTTTTCTCTCTCTCTCTCTCTCTCTCTCTCTCTCTCTCTCTCTCTCTTTCTTTCTCTCTTGTTTCTTTCTTTCACCAGTAGTCGAATTCTCCCTTTTCGACGAGCACCAACAAACCTCGGCAAACCCTCCCCCCTTTCCCCTAGTGAGTAACCCCCTCGTGCGCCCCCTCGTGCGCCCACGTTAACCGACGTATCTATTAATCCTCGTTGAATGACACTCGAGGGTGGCTCCCACCCTTTTGTAGGGTGATTTTAACCCTACAAAATCGTAACTACGGCCCTAAGTTCCTCCCTCCTGCGACCACTATACCTTTCTTCTTCTTCTTCTCTTTTTAATGAATACTCAAGGAGAGATTCGCGTGGTAATTGTGTTAGTAAAAGAGAAAAAAACAGAGAAAGAGATAGATGTGCTACGGGAAGGATGACAGAAAAGGAAGAACGACAGTAGACTCTCTCTTCTTTAAGCAAACCCTTCGCGTTTTAAGGGGTGACATTTAGGGTTCGCTAAGAGAAAGAAAAAGAAACGAAAAGGAGTTTGACATCATCCACTTACGATCTCACTAACGCGTGCAATTCTGAATATACTCGGAATTGTTTAATGGCTTTGATACGTGCAAAGGATAAGATTTAGTTATTCGCTAATCGAAATAAACAAAACGGAAAAGAATTACGTAATTACTCGTTGATTTATAAAACCTCGATCGTTTATTATTATTTGTTATTTCTTACTTGATTAAATTTATCGTTGTTGCATTCGGTAAAATTATGATCCACAAAAAAGAGATCTTGCATTGTTCGATCGTTCTTTAATTTTTAAATTGGTCGGGGCATTATTAGATATCAATTGTAAATATAATGTGGTAATAGTAACATAATATAATAATAATAAAATGGAAGAAAAAGTATATTTTTAAACGTATAATAAAAAATCTCGTCAAGTTAAACGTTCGAAAAGATAATATTTTGAAATGTGATACTCAACAAATTGTAATTGTAATGAGCGTGACAAGTTAACCCAACTGTAGGCCCTTACTAATTAGCGTCTCGCGTTTAATTACAGAGCCGGCGGTAACATGTGCGATGGCTCGTTCGCGGACAGTCTTCGTAGTATGCAGGGTATTCCTGGAACATCACCACCCGGAGCCACAGGGGTCGGCCCTATGGGAGTTGCCCTTGGCAGCCCTCTCGGTCCTGCTGGGGTCAAGAAGGCACAGGTTGAACACATCAAGCGACCTATGAATGCATTTATGGTTTGGTCACGACTCCAACGTAGGAAGATTGCTCAAGAGAATCCCAAGATGCACAACAGTGAAATATCTAAGCGGCTCGGTATGTAACTGTTATTAGTTTCTTTTATTTCTAACTATAATTCATATTTGTTTATAGGAAATTTATTCAAATTGTAACAATCACGAGACTTTCCCGTGAGCTTCCAATTCATTTGCTACTTAATCATTTAATAATTCAATTTAAAATTGATGAATCTAATTTAGATTAATTATAGTTTTTTTTTTCTATTGAATACATTATCCTTGTGGATATTATGAGCGAAAACAATGAAAGTAATGTTTCAAAATTAATTTATTATTACGAATGTTCTTTTATATACGTTTTATATAAGTTTTATATAAATAAGACTTTTAAAAATTTTATTATAGAAATTAATTTATTCCATTGGTAATATATTTGTGAACGTGAAATATCAGATAAAAAATATGATTCGCAGAAATATTTATACTCGTAATATTGTATATTTTATCTCAATAACTTATTGGAAAGATATTATATAATAATGTTTAATTCACTGATAAGTCTAATATTGATTGTTACAAATTTGACACCTCAAGAAACATTTATCGACACAACACGTCTCAACGTTCTTTCTATTATATTTAACTTCGACTCATTATAAATCACTTTTTTATCTTCATTTTTCCTACAAATTCTTTTATTTTCAAAATTCCAATTAATTCTCCGAATCGTTCAAATTTATACTTCTTACAAGATCAACTAAACTACGATAGTATAACACGTTGATTGCCCGCATAATACCACATAATTTACCTGTCGCATCTACATGAATTTTTTCTTCTTCTTCTTCGTCTTTTTATTAAGACTTTCTTCGTTATAATAGCTTTTTTTATTTTTTTTTTATTGCTATTCCTAGGAGCGATTTATTGTTTTTACCGATTAGGTTGCTAGCCTCTCACCCCGAATCCTCTTCTCCTTTTATCTTGGGGGTTTAGGACCAGCTTTAGATGTAAACTAAGCGGAGAAGTCTTGGCGTCAACCGGCACATTGGTTTTCTCAAGCGGTTCATTCATTCAAGCACTAATGATACTCAGCGTTCCTTGACTTAAATGATCGAACAGGAACTAGTGCTGTCATCGCGTCACGGCCGTTATAGAATGCGTATTTTGTTGAAATTTTGTTTACAGCTGATAAAGGGAGTTGTATAATTTTGCTTAATACATTATTTTTAGTGAGGTTACCGGTGCGGTTAAGCCCGAGGCGCTGTAGACCATTCAGTGATTATAAGTTAGATCAGTCAAACTGTCCAAAAATGGTAATATCATAGATTAGAATTTATGGAAATTTGAAGTTGATTTTTCTTATTAGATAACTTCTTATAGTTCACCACTACGAAACATTATAAAATATGTGGAACGAGCGCCTCCATGCCAAATACTTAAATAAGCATTTGTGAAGGGATTGTGCGGTGGGTCTTGGATAACTCAATGGATAAAGAGCAGTCGCTCAGAAAGCGAAAAATCCGTGGTTCGAGTCCTGGTTCAGTCCAATTTTTTTTCAGGAATCTTACAAATGTTATTAGAAATTGGCAATAAAGCTTTTATTGATTACTTGTGCCGTAAATTAAATGGTGTTATACAAACAAGAAGGTTCAAAATTATTTAGAAATTAAAAAAAATTCCTAGCTCAACATTTTTTTTAATCCCTGATTTTATGAAAAAGTAAGCGATTTATTAAGTGAAATATTCTTATGACGAAGATTGCATTTGATTAAGCAATTACATACAGAAAAAATGTCGTTACAATGATATTATTTGATAATTTATCACCAGTGACTTACAAGGCAGCCAACGTGTTGTTGAGGAATAAAATCTCTCTTTTGCGTAAGAAAATAAATAAAAAATGAACGGAAGATTCCGTGGGCGACGTTTTAAGGACTGAAATAACTCTCTACGATTTTGTGCACTTAGATTTTTTATGTTTCCTTTTTTTGTTTTCGTTTAAAATAAACGTGACATACGTATTTGTATGCTTTGCTTACTAGACATACAGAAGAAACTGCGAGATGAAATAACAAAAACGTAAACTGTAATCTTTGAAACAGTTTAACAAAACTGTCGCCCACGTTTTTGAACAAATGTTAAGCGGAAGTAGGGCAAGGTGCGAGTGCTACGGAAAAATAATTAAAAGGATCTCGGTTTAGGTATATCGCGTACAGAGAGAGAGAGAGAGAGAGAGAGAGAGAGAGAGAGAGAGAAAGAGAGAGAGAGAGAGAGAGAGAGAGAAAGAGAGAGAATCGCCTCTCCCAAGGGAAAAATAGTTGCTTGCTTTTTCTTTTATATTTTTTTGTTCTTCTTCTCTCTCTTCCTCTCCTTTTTTCTTCCTTCATCCCTTTTTTTAGCCCCTGTCGACGTTCCTGTGTTTCCGCGCGTAATTCCGGCGCCCTCGAGCAGCCCGACGACGTACGTATTTCCAGTTAGGTACTTTTGAAAAAGCGCGAACTTTTACTACGTTAAAACGCTTTTTTATTATTTTTATTTTTCTTTCTTTATTTCTTTCTTTCTTTCTCTAAGCTTGTAACGACAAATAAAAAAAAAAGAGAACACAATAAAACAAACATTAGGAGAAAGAAAGAAAATGGTAGCTAAAATATATCATTACATAGTTACTTATTATACTTATCGCGAGATTTATAACAATTCCTAACGTCAAAGTTCGCGATTTAAAAGTACAATTAACGAATTGAAATTTCTGTCTAATCTAAATGGACTAACAAAAAAGAAAATTTTCGTCAAAATTCTACGCGAATTGGTCCCTTAGACACTTTATAAAAAAACAAAAAAAGAAAAAAAATTAATTTTAAATAAAGCAAAATTAAAGTAACAAGCACATTTACAACGGGTACGGTAAAATGCGATTGAAAGGGAGTAGGCGAGAGGTGGTAGCGAGCGAGTAAGAAAACGATGGGGAAAAGGTGGATCCGGAGTGAGAAGGGATGAGTCTTGTACGTCATAGGAGAGGGTAAAAGATGGACGAGAACGAAGGTATTCCGGCTGGTATTTCCGTTAAATACCGAGTATTCGACAAAGGGATCTTCCCGCAGCATCCCTCGAGCGCTTCTTTATCCGTCATTTTCTTCCTCGCCTCCGCTACTTCTCTCTACCCTTTTCCTTCCTCTTTCTCTCTCTTATCCGCAATCCCTCCGCCATCCCTCCGCCATCCCACCGCCCCCTCTCGGCCCTTTTCGCTCCCTCGACGACGACGACGAATAAGGGAAGTGCCTCCTCCTTGCTAAATATGATGCGCGCAAGCTCGAACCTCCTCCCCCTCTCCCTCTCCCCTCTTCTCTCCACCTCCTCCTCCTGCACCACCTCAACTCCTCATACTTCTCTTTTTCTCCCTACCCTATATTTACCCCTTCTCCTTTTTCTCTCTTTTTCTATCCTTCTTCGTTACCACCCTTTCCTCTTCCTCTTCCTCTTCCTCTTCCTCTGTCCCCACCCCCCATCCCCCACCACTCTTTGTCGACGCGACACTCTTTTCGTCGCTCTTTTACCGCCTTATACCTGGCACACCGTGTATAGTTATACGTTGATATATATGGAATAGTTGAGAATGCGAGAGAGAGAAAGAATAAGAGGGGGTGGTTTTTCGTTAGATGACGGTATACAGCTAGCTGTCGCGACTCTGTACTACTACCCCTTGTCGGTACATTCGTGAATTTCATTTTTCTCTTTCTACCTTTCTCTATGTGAATGCCTTCTCTCTCTTGCCTTTCCTTCATTTTTTTTATTCTTCCTTCTTTTTTCCTTTCTCTTATTCTCTTATTCTTATTCTTATTCTTTCTCGACGTATATTTTCGGTGGGTTACCTATTTACGGATTTACCTTTCTCTTATTATATTTCCGCGATCTTTGTCGATGTTTGTTGAGTTTTACACACACAAACGTAATTTATATATTATTTCTTTTGTATTTAAATGTTCCTTTTCCTCTTTTTCATTTATTTTATTATTAAATGCTAATGAAATGTAAAAACAATAATCGACAATATTTCGTATACTCGTTCAAAATTTTTTAATATCAATTCAAAGAGACAAGTTTATTTTTAAATTGTGCTTTTCCCTTTTTTTTTTTTTTTTTAAATTTGCCAAAATGTGTTTGCGTTCTCGTGAAATTATATCAGGTCAATCCAAAAGTTTGTGCGCATTAAAAGCATGTATATCGATTTTGATAATGACGTTCTTAAAAATCTTGTAGAGTTAGAGCCACATTTAACAGTGGATCAGATCGCAGAAAAGATGCATTCATCTCATGGGACAGTCTTTCGCCATTTAAAGGAGATTAGAAAAGTATCAAGCTTGGAAAGTGGGTACCACACGAGCTAACTGCGCACGAACTTTTGGATAATTTATATTAGCGCATATATGTTTAGATTAATAGTAGATAGTCGTTTAATTGTTTAATTAAGATGTTATACATTTTGTAAAATGGCGGGACTTGGATGAAATTAATTCATGGCATTAAAGAAATTACAAACGGAAGATTTGTGTAAAAATACGAAGGAACTATAATCTCTTATGTTAATACTAAACCTACAATGCGCGGTCAAATGACCGTTTTTGAAATTTCGTTTAGAATTTTTCCTATATAACGTTACTGTATCACCATGTAGCTTATTGACTTTTCCTATTATAATCTATAGCATTTCTAGTCTACCACGAGCGGTCATTTGACCGTTTGAAAAATTCATGTTGTGTACAAAATACGTATGTGGACAATGTGCAATACACAATGCTGTTATTGGCAAAAAATGCATAAATAAAAAATTCTAAATAGAAAAGCGGGGTGCAGGTGTCTTTGTAGCACCAGAAAAATATTTTGTTTAATATCCAATTGGCTAAAATCTCTTTCAATATATGTTGTTTTGAAGCGGTCATTTGACCGCGCATAGTAGAATTAGATATACATGAAATGTCGGTAGGTTTAATGTTAAAGTAACAAAAGCATTAAAGTTACGTACCAGCCTAACCCCTCAGGCTAGGTTTTATTGCCTCCATTAGAAGATGATGATACAAG